TGCGGTCCCGGGCAAGCTCCCGGGAGCCGCCAGCCTGGTCCCAGGAAGAGGGGGAGGGCTGGGGGGCATCGGGTGGGTGGCTTGATCCGTGCCAGGTGCAGGGTCTGCTGGCTGGGTGCTGGCAGGCTTGCACCTGGCATGGACACCGTAGCCAGTCCGTGCCCCTTTAAGGGGTCCGGGGCCGGGAGGGGGGCAATAGAGTTTCCCTGGTGTTGGCCAGAGTGTCCACCAGGGAAACCTGGGGAGGGCTAGCCTCCCGCTAGTTCGAATTAAGGGGCTACACATCCCTCAATTCGAACTAGTAAGTTCGAACTAGGCTTAATCCTCGTGGAATGAGAATTACCTAGTTCGAACTAAGCGCTCCGTTAGTTCGATTTAAATTCGAACTAACGGAGCACTAGTGTAGCGCCTATGAAAGTTAGTTCGAACTAATGTCTGTTAGTTCGAACTAACTTTGTAGTGTAGACATACCCTAACATATCCAGAACATCTCATGAAGATAGGTGATTTTTACTTGTTTATTTTTAAATGTACGCAACATCCTTTTAAGCATAGTAAGATCAAAAACAAATAGATTCAAAATTCATACATCAGAGTGCAATCATTTTGAAGGCTCACAAGTTCACATAATCTTCCTTAAGTATTCTTAGTAGCATGTAGCTATATAAGATCCCAAATAACTGGAAGGGGAGAAAAAAGTAGAGATAAGAAATTAAGCTTGACATTGCTAGTGTTTAAAAGTTTACAACTACATTTTCATTGATCAGTTGTTAGGAGGGAGACCCCTTCTTAGAGCTGACAGGATTCACTACCTGAGCTAATAACCCTTTTCTGTCACTGCACTGATGCTTAGAGCATTTGTGCAGATTTAACATACTGTTTAGTGCACTGCTGCCCTTGACATGATAGTCAAAACATGACTAATGTTCTCTCAGGCTATAGCTTAGTCAACACAAAGGCAGGGTGAAGTGAACCAATTTTAAAGAGACTTGGGTCTTTCATAGCATTAAAGCATTTGCTATCCAGTAATTTACATGCTAAATTTAAGTCATTTTAGTGTATGCCACCTCTGTATTTTGGATATTGAGCCCTGTGCTTTTTGTATTTTATTTGCATAAGGACCACCACCTGGAGTTTGAACACAAAACAGGAAATACACAATCAATGTTTACCTGCACAAATCCAACACTTAAACCAACCCCTCCAACAAAAACAATGTGTTCTTCAGCCCACTTCTTCAGCTTTGGAATGCATCCCTAAGAAAACAATAGAATATTTGCCAGTTACCACCTCTTGGAATCTAATAGAGTAGAAAGTGGACTGCATATATATAATGTGCAGTCAAATTGTATCATTCATGAGAGAGAGTTCATAAATAATCTAAACTTTGTTGAATTGTAGCTGATCAAGTTTTGCTAAAGACTTATCAAACAACAAAGGGCTTGCAAGAAACAAGATCAAACTAATTAATAAGGCTGCAATTTCAAATATGCAATTATTATGGCTAAGAATTTAATTATTGTTCATGCCATGTAGTATGTAAGATGATTATGGCCTAGATAGGAAAGAAACATGAGATTCAAAAGCTAGTGGGTGGAGAGTGGTAAGGAGAGAAAAAAGAAAAAGATCAGAGTGATAATTATGTTGTTTAAGGGAGACGGATAGGGGGTTTCGGAAAGACTGTTTTTTCTTCAAAGGATAGTCACCTATGTTGACTAGACAGGGGCAGTTTGCCACATGCACCAGTTCCAGAAGATTTTCCCTTAGCACTATCTGAAGCGGACTGGCTCCAGTGCCCCCTGAAGTGGCATACACATGCTGTGCTATATAGGTTGCCACCAGACCCTCTTCTCCTTGAGTTCCTTCTTGCCACCAGTGACTGTGCTTGGAACTGTTGCTCCAGCCTTGCCACCAGTGACTGTGCTTGGAACTGTTGCTCCAGCCTATCTACTCTTAATTCCCTCCTACTGACTTGTTAAAAGTCCCCTCCTTCCTGCGTTAGCTGTTATAACTTTGTAGATAATTAGTCCCTTGCAAGGACACAGCCTGAGGATAGGCCATAACACATGGTTTGAAGGCTGGGAACCAGGATAACTGCCACAGACCTATGCCAGTTAATGACCCACATGGCAACTGCCTTCATTGTCTGGCGAATCCCACAACAGCAAGAAGTGCTAAGTCTACAGGTCCTTCTGACCTACAGCTATAAAGAACAGAGTTATCCATCTCAAGGCACTACTTATGGAGTCTGCCTTGGCTCCCCGACACCAATACTCAGACTCTGTGCCAAGTACTACTGTCCTGAGTACTTAGTCAACAAACTGGTGCAGGGTATCTTCAGATGTGCCAGCAAAGAAGACCAAGGAGGCGAACAAGGAGAAGTCACCTGGCTCAAAGAGAAATCCAAACAAATAATCAGCGGACCACAGCAAGGGCAGAGTGCTGGACAAGGTATCAGCGCAGGTGGAGGAGAAAAATCCTCATTCCTTGCTACCTTTCCTGGGTATCCCAGTCCCCCTCCAACCTAGAAGTGTTCCAAACAGCACAGGATATAAGCTGCTGCATAGTGGCAACATCAAAGAGCTCAGAGCCGTATGAAGGGCATGCGAGGAGTTTCTTCCTCACCTGTTCAGCAGAGTAGTCCAGGTCCTCCAACAACATGGCTAGACTGTTCTATATCACCAGCCCTCTGCCAACAGGCAATACGTCTCCGGAACTTCTGCATTGGTCACATCTCTTTAGAGGCTTGTCACCTCCTGGGGGCCAAAAATGCCATTGTAGACTGCTTGAGCAGGCAGTTCTCATCTCATCATGAGTAGGCTCTTCTCTGGAATTGGCCTCTGCTCTCTTCCAAGTGTGGAGGTTTTCTCCAAGTGGATTTATTTGCGAACAGACATAGCATGAAGTATCAGGTTAGGTCTGGAGGAAGATTCCCTCCCAGATGCTTTCCTTCTTCCTTGGACAGAAGGGCTTCTGTATATGTTCCTGCCATTCCCCTTGATTAGCAAAGTCCTGCAGAAGCTCAGGCAACATACAGCACAGGTAATACTCATTGCACCAACACCGGTACAGCACTCTTAGTGTAGCAGGCTTGACCTCTGTCAATCCACACAGATCTACTATTGCAGGATCATTGACGCATACTGCACATGGACCTCCCTTTTAACTGATGGCCTCCTGCTCCCTTTTTCTCTGCTGCACTGAGGTTGCCTTTTTAGTGGCAATTACATCAGCCAGAATGGTGTCCAACCCACATCCTCCCCCCCCCCATATATGGTCTTTTTCAAGGGTAAGGTGCAGATTAGACCACCTCTGGCCTTCCTACCCAAAGTTGTTTCCACCTTCCACATGGGCCTATATATCTTACTTCCAGCCATTTATCTGAAGACCAGTGAGGAAAGGAGTCTTCACACATTGGACATCAGAAGGGTACTTCCTTTCTATCTGAATCAGACAAAGACTTTCCCTAAGTCCTCCCAACTGTTTGTAGCCTACACTGAACGTATTGGGGTCTCCCGGAATCCTTGGAAAGGATTTCCGCATGGATTGCGTCCTGCATCAAGACATGCTACAAACTGTCAGGTGTACTATTGGTGAGAGCACTCCCTACCAGGGTTCAAGCTCGTTTCTGGCCCATATCCCAATCCTAGGCAGCTGCAAGGCTGCGATGTGGTCTTCAGTACATACATTCACCACCCATAACACCGTCATGCAGGAGACTAGGGTTTGACAGAGCCATGTTGCTTTCCACATGTCCTTAAACTCCTACCCACCTTCACAGATATTGCTCAGTCACCTACATTGACTAGACATGAGCAGTCACAAAGAAAGAGAGAGTTACCTGGTTTCACACTTCAAGATGGGTTACTAATGTCCACTCAACATCCCACCCTCCTTCCCTTCTGTCTGAGTTTCCAGCAAAAAGGAACTGAAAGGGGGCCCAGTTGTGCCGTATATAGTATGGCAGGTGTATGCCACTCCAGGGGGCACTGCAGCCAGCTACTACTGAAGGAAAATCTTCCAGCACCGGTGCACAAGGTGACTACACACACCTACATTGAATGGACATCTCGAAGAACACCAGTTAACTGTCTTTTCTCCCACTTCTATTGAAAACAGTTGTTCCCATAAAATGCATATCCTTCCATCATGGGCTGTGTCTACATTGGCACCCTTTTCCAGAAAAGGGATGCTAATGAGACCAGTCGGAATTGCAAATGCCGCGGGGGATATTTAAATATCCCCCGCGGCATTTGCATGAACATGGCTACCGCTTTTTTCCAGCTCAGGGCTTTGCCGGAGAAAAGCGCCAGTCTAGACGGGATCTTTCGGAAAATAAAGCCTTTTCCGGAAGATCCCTTATTCCTCTTAAAATCAGGAATAAGGGATCTTCCGGAAAAGGCTTTATTTTCCGAAAGATCCCGTCTAGACTGGCGCTTTTCTCCGGCAAAGCCCTGAGCCGGAAAAAAGCGGCAGCCATGTTCATGCAAATGCCGCGGGGGATATTTAAATCCCCCGCGGCATTTGCAATTCCGACTGGTCACATTAGCATCCCTTTTCCGGAAAAGGGTGCCAATGTAGACACAGCCATGCAGTTTATAGTTGCTTACTCAATATGATAGTAGGAGACAAGGTGATGCCCAATAAGGAAAGATCCAACTGGCTCAGCTAAGGATAACTTTAATGATAACTGGGTCACTCATATTCAAGCATTATCGAAGCCAGAATGCCATTGCAATCCAGCAAAGCTTTCCAAACCCACTGCACAAAAATGTTTTTATTGATTGTTCTCGTAAGCATGATGCAATTTGAAGCAGCTGTTTTCTCCATACATTATTTCAGCCACTATATATAGACTAGTTCTGAAAAATTAGATATATATTTGAAGTGAAAAATTTCTTTGGTATACGCTATTTTTGAAGAGCAATTGCCTTTCTTTAGGAATTTTGATGTCAGTTTAGTTGTGAAGTAAAATATTACATCTCCCCTATATAAAAGTCTGAATGAAGGAGGCAAACAAGCATCAGTCATTTTACTGATAAGTAACCTTATTAGAGGTTTTGGGTTAAGCAATTCTGTCCAAACTTAATAGGGACAGAAAGCCTAACTAAGTTTTATTCTGTTTTTATCATTATACTAGAACATTTACCTGGCATTGCTCAGATCCTTAATGCAATTAAGTTTGTGTACTTTCTTCTCACTCCCTTTCAGCAATGAAGGGGAACAGCACCAGCAACTACTCATATGAACCTGAGGAGAGCATCTGCAGAATGGAGGGGGAGGCTCAGGGACTGGGCAGAACCAGATGGAGGAGGGCATGCCCGGTGATTCAAGATATATCCCTTGTCCTGGCACAACCAAACCTTTATCTTGCTTTACTTTATGATTAGAGAAAGCTGTATACCAAGTTTAGTGGTCCTAGCTCTTACTATTTAGGAGAAGTTCTTGAACAGATGGACAAACTCTCTGAAATATATAGTAGTTTGGTACTAAGAGAATAAGCATTGCATTGCTTTAGACAAGCTCACCTACTGCACTTTCAGCCAGGGATATATATTTCTGAACCTTTCCCTTTAAGGAAGAGAAGGACTATTCCATGGTTAGGGTACTAGCCTAGGACTTAGGTAACCTGAGTTCAATTCCCAGGCCCCTGCCTTTGTGTGGTCTTGGGCAAGTCACTTGCTCTATGCCCAGTCTCTCCTAGGGTGTTAACTTTCTAATTGCAAAAAAACAAACATATTTACCCCTCCCCATCCCCCCCCATCCCACTCCTTCTCAGAGGCTCTGCTCCAATTCACCCTCTTTTGTTGTTTGCTCTCTCCCATATTCATTTATTCTCACCAAGCTGGTGCAAGAAGGGGTCAAGGCCAAAGATGGGGCCAGAAATTAGGAATTCAGCATGCTGGAGTGGCCTCAGAGCTGGGACGATGCTTACCTTGGGCATCTCCCCAGAAGTGGCAACATGTCCCTCAGCTACTAGGCATAGGGATGGCCAGGTGGCTTTTTGATGCCTCCCTCCACCCTCACGCAGCTCCCATTGGCTGTGGTTCCTGGCCAATGTCACTGCTCTCAGGAGCCCTGTGGAGGCAGGTAGGGAGCTTGCCAACCAGACTTAACATCTCAGTCAGCAGTACTAAATGGCATCTCCAGGATCCCTTTTTGACTGGGTATTCCAGGAAAGAAAACACCAGACATCTGGCAACTCTAGACTCTCTTCCCTTCCAACTCTGTCAAATGGTGATGATGGCTATTCCCTGCTTAACAGAAGTGAAGGAAATATAACTATATTAATAAGAGAGACAGTGATGAGAGTATACAGATACCTTACAGAGGTTTGATGTATAGGAATGCTTACCTATTCCAACGAAACAGACAGTTACATTCTAGACTGAGGCAGTAGGCCATACTTTTAGTCTCTTAAAGTCTCCTCAACAAAGGCTACAGGAGCTCTCTGACAGGCTGGTATCCCATGTTGCCTAGTAAGAGAATTGGTTGCTAGAGCTTAGGAGTAATTAAGATACCTGTTGGTTAATGTTAGCAGCATCGGTGCTTAGATTCATTCCACAACTTATCGTTATTATCTTGCAGCAGCTATTTGGAACAGCTGAACTGAGAGATCCAAATGTAGTATTGAACCAGTCGGTATAGTTCTGAGCACCACAGCACTGGAACTGGAATGATCAAAAGTTTAAAAAATAGTGAAATCATGGTATTTTAAGTAAAAAAAAAAAACACCCCAAAAACCCTGCTATAGTGATTTATTTTATTTTATTTTATTTTGTGCACCCTCCACCAAAGGCAGAGCTCTCTTAGGAAGATTTTCAAACCTGTTCAAAATAAAATAGCAGCAGTCATGGGATGCCAAATTGTTTTCCAACCAGTCCATGTAATCTTCCCACTAAGACTGCCAGTTTTAACTCAGACAGTCCTGACCCGGTCATGAGATTCAGGCTACTTCTATACTACAAGAAGAGTCAGAAAAAGATACACAAATTGTGGTTCTTTTCAAAAGAGGTTTTTCCTAAATTTGGCATGTCTACACGGCACCAAATTTTGGAAAAAACCTGCTCTTTCAAGCCATCTCTTCTTCCTCGTAAAACGAGGTTTACAGGGATGGAAAAAGAACGCGTCTGCTTTTTCGGAAATTTTTCTGAAAAAGCAGATGCATTCTTTGGACGTGGCATTGCCTTTATCCCAGAAAAGTGCTGCAGTCTAGACAGCCTTAGAGAGTATGTCAGAAGCCATCATTTGCCTCCCCTTTGATTTTTTTAGCTTTGTAGAATGCTCTTTTTTGACCTAGTTGAATTGTTTGTTGCAAAACAATCTTACAAATTTCATCAGGTTTCTTTTGACTAGATCTTCATTTAGACATCCCTGTGGATTGTCAAATAATCCCCAGTAGCTACATGAGTGTTCAGATTCTTCCTAACATGAAGCAAAGATTTCACATGCTATTAGTTTAAAGATGTTAATTAGGTTTGTTAAACCTCAAGCCATGACTTGTTTTCTAACCCTTCTAGAAGAAGCAAGGTTAACAGTGTCACTAGCCTACAAGTCTTTAGTTGGATTTTTTTTGAAGACATATGCCATATATGAAGGGCATCTTTCAAAACATCGTTTTGGTTATTCAGTTCATCTTGTTTGGTGATCTTCTGTGGGAAAAGAACTATCCTACCTCTTTTTTTACTACAACTTGGTTACATATTTCTAGTGTGGTTCTACCATCCCCAAGAAGCTGAACTAGACAACTAGGATCACTTCCAAGTTTGAGCAGAAGATTCTATACTTAAATTTCATTAACAGACTAACCAAAGCAAAGAGATAAAAGCAGAACAAGGGGGTTAAGGAGAGCAAGTTCTTGGGGTTTAGCTTCAGAATGAGATTTTCCACACCCTAAGTGACAGACTATTTTTAAACTTAAACAACAAATGGTCTGGTAGCACTTTATAGACTAACAAAACATGTGGATGGTATCATGAGCTTTCGTGGGCACAGCCCACTTCTTCAGATGATTGGAGTTTTTATTTTTAATTTGTCCTCAAAGGACTGCAATACAAAGAGCTTTAGTGAATGCCTCTATTCATTGTAGCATAGGAGAGATTACTTACATTCTCTTGTAAATTGTCCACTCCTTTGGTTACGTGGGAATCTCTGTTATATTTGTCAAGAGACTTCAGGAAGCTCTTCAACAGGTTGTCATGCAGCTGTAAGTAAAGTAGGATTTATTTTATATGCATACGGAAGCTATGTAACTGTGGACAAGTTCCTGCCTTCTCCTCCAGAGAATCATGGAGGTACTGGATCCATATACAGTATCATTTCTGGTAATGTGTTTTCACCACTAAAATGGCAACATTAGCTAAAGGGGGTATAAAGAATAAGTGATATTTGAAATTCACTATGGGGTGTGTCTACCCTGCATCCGTAGCTGGAAATAAGCTATGCAATTTGAGCTATGCAGACTGAGTAGCTTATTTTGAGTTAATTTCAAAATAGCTTATTTTGAAATTTGGTGCTGTCTACACAGCACTTATTTTGAAGTAAATCGCTATTCCAAAACATCTCTTACTCTTCCTGGAATGAGGTTTACAGGAACATCAGGATAGCAAGCCTGTTATTTTGAAATAACGGGTGCGCTCAAAATACGTGGAATAGCTATTTCGGGTTACCTTCAGTAGCCTCGGAGACCTTGCACCAAACCTATTATTTACATTTTGAACTTTTCACATTCAAAATTTCAAGACCAGACATTAAACTGAACTATTAGCCAGACATCCCTGTCTCTGCAGCATTACGCCTATTTAAGTGCAAGTGCCAAGTCAAAAGAACTTAAGTTTCTCCATTTTCTATATTTGTATACACACACATTCCCCTAAATGCTTGCAATTGCTCTACATGAGACATTAGTCACAGCACAGACCATTATGTAGCCCTAATGGCATAGCAGTTCAGATTCTGCAAGAAGGGAGACCTGCTGTGGACTAGTCTCTTTGCATCCCCTTCCCAGAAGTAATTGGTTGATTGGACCCCTTTGTGCTCTGGTTCACAGATGCTATTGAGCATTGTCATTTCCTTAACTAGAAGGACAATGCTGAAACTGGAGGAGAAATGACCATCAGTGTTACAGTCAATATTATGTGGCTTATGCAGTTAAAAACATTTCCAGCCATATTTAGACATGGGAGCATTGTTCCTTTTAAGGCTTCTGGTTTTGCTCAAGCCCATAATGAATTCTGGCTACTTGACTGCTGCAGTAATACAGCCAAAACACATATTTGTTCATACTGCCTCTTCCCAGATTGTATTTTGCATTTGGAAATTGGCAGTGGTGATTTTGGACTTGCAATTCTGAAGATATTTTTCTTGGCAGAAGATGCAATCTAAGGTATTTACCATTAGTTTCAGGTTATCCTTAGAACTGGCATTCCCTAGAGTTATGGATAATACTGGAGATCAGATTTTAAGCTCACCCTCACATCCACCCTCTTCCACACACAAGGAAAACCTAGCTGAGCATTAGGGAAGAATTGGAATTCAGACAATATAGAATTATTGCTTTGTATACTTCTATTTCCATGCCTTTGCATTTGCTTATCTACCTTCTTCTGTACCTGATAGAGTACCAACTACATGGTGTGGAGTTTGGTTACCTTAGTACTAATGTTTAGAGAGGTTTTTCTCCATCCTGTTTTATGGTTTCCAATGGACCAAGGATTGTGGTTCTAGGTCTACTCATCTTCCTTCTCCCACCTGCAACCTATACTAATACCAATCACTGACAGTTTAGCATGCTTCCACCTACCCATCTAGATTTTCAGACCCATTTTAACTATGAAGCTTTGTCAGAGAAACCTATTGAGTCATCCTACAAGTTATCATGCTAATATTTTGAGTCCCTACTTCCCTGGTAGCAATGGTGGCTACTAGTTCAGTAAAGCTTTGAATAAGATTGACACTCTGGTTGATAATTGAGCTTGTCATTGTACTCTAAGGGTGTGTGTAAACTACATGGCTCCATCAATGGAGCCATGTAGATTAGGTTGATCGGCAAAGGGAAATGAAGCCGCGATTTAAATAATCGTGGCTTCATTTAAATTTAAATGGCTGCCGCGCTGAGCCGACAAACAGCTGATTAGCTGTTTGTTGGCTCAGCGCACTAGTCTGGACGCTCCCACGCTGACCTGAAAGCCCTTTATCGACCTCCCCGTTATGCCTCGTAGGTTGAGGTTTACTGGGGAGGTCGATAAACGGCTTTCATGTCGGCAGGGGAGTGTCCAGACTAGCGCGCAGAGCCGACAAACAGCTAATCAGCTGGTTGTCGGCTCAGCACGGCAGCCATTTAAATTTAAATGAAGCCATGATTATTTAAATCACGGCTTCATTTCCCTTTGCCGAACAAACAAATCTACATGGTTCCGTCAACGGAGCCATGTAGTTTAGACATACCCTAAGAGACTTGTGGCTCTGTAAGCTGTTGCTTGATCACTAGTTGAACAAATTGCTCAGTTGGCAGTCCATCTGCTGCAATAAAAAATTCAACCTAAGATCCTGAATTGCAGCTGTGATTTCATGGATTTCTAGTAAAAGATAGTTTAATTCCAAAAGTAGACTAGTATACCATTGCTCTATGGAGTATAATTCTGTGCTAACCAGTACCCTGTCATTCGACTCAGCAATCTAGTCTTAGAGTTTTGTTGAACAATTAGTATTACATTTATAGAAGAACTTTTAAACTATAAACATACTTTAAGCAAAGAGATCTGTGATGGCAGCAAGGGTTCCTGGAAAGGACCCTGTCCTTTAAACCTCTGACATTAAGAAAGTGTGGCATTTATTAGCATTATCCATTCTTTATTTCCTCACACCTACCTTCCCTCTGTAAGCATAGGCAGAGATGCCAACTATGATTTCAATCAAGAAGATAATCAGCAGCATGCCTGTGAACTAACAACAGTAATTTCAGGTCACATTCATCTTCTCATAATGCATAGAGATAGTGCACTTGTTTTAGATTAATCCAAACATCATTAGTTCACATAACATATCTCCATACATTTTTTCAATGGGTGAGGTCTGTAAAGGACTCAAGAAGTATAGTACCTATCTTTAAAATGAGGAACAGAGAGAAATTATATTCTAGTATCTTAACTTCCAGTATCTTTTCAGGTATGAAACATATTATTAAACAAATAAATTTGCAAGCACCTAGAGAATAATAGAATTGTAGAGGAAGAGCCAACAATGCTTTTTCAAAAACAAATCATGCCAAAGTAGCCTAAATTTCCTTCTTTTACAGGGTTACTGACTAATCGATAGGAGAAAGCTATAGATGTGCATCATCTGGATTTTTTATAAAGCTTTTGACCCAATCTCACATGACACTCAGAAGAAAACTATGGAAATATGGCCCAAATGAAATGACTATAAAAGGTGAGAGTGCAACTGGCTTTAAAAAAAACAAAAACAAACAAAAAAAAAAAAACACACCACACACCACCACGCAGTAATTATCAATGGCTGCCTGGCAGACTAAATCAGTTGGAGTCCCATTCTGGTCCAGTACTGTTTAATATTTTCATTAGTGACTATGCTGAAGATTTGCAGATGACATGAAGTCTGAGGAGGCAGTGGCAAGCTCTTTGGAGGATTTCAAAGTGACCTTGGCAATTTTGAGAATCAACCTGAAAATCAACAGAAGGAAAAATTCAATATATAGTCAAGTGTGAAGTACTACCCTTGGGGTGGGGGATAGGGGAGACAAAAAACAATGACTGCACAGCTACAAAGTGCGGGATAACTAGCTAGGCATGACTAACTCAGAAAAGAATCTGGGAGTTATAGTGAATCACAAAATACAACTGAACAATTGATATGCAATTGCAAAAAAGGCTAGTATTCTGGGCTATTGTGACAGGAGTGTCATCTTATGTAAGATATTGGAGGTTATTGTTTTGAACTCGGCATTGGTAAGGCCTCAACTTGAGTACTGCGTCTAGTTTTGGGCCCCACAATTTAAGCAAGATGTGAACAAATTGGAAATCACCAAAAATGATTAAAGGTTTTGAAAACCTGATCTGAGGAAAGGCTAAATAAAACTGGGCATTGTTTTGTCTTGAGAAAAGATGACTAAGTATGGCCCTTTATCAGCCCTTAACACATGTGAAGACATCTGAGGGTACATCTACACAGCATGCAGTTATTTCGAAATAATGTCGAAATACTGTCAAGCTGGAGGACTTTACTCCTACTCCTGTAACCCTCATTGTATGAGTAAGGGAAGTTGGAGGAAGAGTGTTCTATTTCAAAACAAGTGCTGTGTAGATACTCCCAATTTCGAAATAAGCTGTTTTGACTTAAGCGATGCAATTGACATAACTCGTAAGAAGCTATGCAAACTGAGCTAAGCCCTGCTGTATAGATGCACCTTTAAAGAATTGTGTTCAGTTGTTCTCCATGTCCACTGAAGAAGTAGGATAAATAGCAATCGGCATAATCTGTGGCAAGAGAGATTTACCTTATACATTAGAAAAAGCCTTTCAGTTTCCAAGGGGAGTTGTGGAATTCCCATCATAGAAGATTTGTCATAACAGATTTGGCAAACATCTGTCAGGGATTGTCTGGGTACACTTGGTCCTGCCTTGGGGGAAAAAGTACAGAGATGGAAATAATAGTGGACTAAATGACCTCAAGGTCTCTTCCAGACTTGCATTTCTATGGTTTCATGGCAACTTTAACTCACATCCTGATCTATTGTATAACATCCTTTTGATTCTGAAGTGATTCTGAAGGTGAGAGACATTTGCTTGAATAAAAGCCTTAATATTTGTCCCTATATCACTTAATCTACCATACTGATATGCAGCCATTGTAAGACAAGGATAGCTACGTGTCATTAAAGCACAGATGAAATTTCAGAAGATGTTAGTGCTATCCTAATTCAGAAGTGACCAGAATTAACTTGAATGGGAACAGAAAGTATCATTTTACATGGTTCTACAAGAAGGCTGTTGCAACCAAATTTAGACTGCAGTTGGGATTTACCCCCATCTTCCAAGAGACCCTACCATGCAGATACAGACAACAGCATGAAGTGTTATTTTGCTCTTTCATCAGGCTTGTGTCCTGGGCTGCTTCATGAATCTTGTTATTCTCTCTTAATCAACTCTCATACTTAGGTTCCTGTTATGGCACGGAGACAGAAAAGCAACAAGTTTACCCATCTGAAGTGGGGATAGAACTAGATCTAATTCAGGAGGCCCTGGAAGAATCAAGCTTTTGCAGGGACTAGGAAATGGTCTCAAAGGTGTTGGCAAAAGTGTTGCTTAAGAGATTGGCATAAGAAGCAGTTGTATTAATAAAGCGTAAGGAGGTAAGTTTCTTCAGTCAGGAGAATTAAGGTTGATCACACTCAGGTTAAGACATACTAGCACAAGCAGTACATGTATTAAATATCTGGATCATTATGGTTTTGCAAATTTTTAGTTTTTTGCTTAGTTATTCCAACAAGTCACTGAAGATTTTGGTTGTTCCCCTACACATTCTGTCAGATAATGACAATTAAATCATAATTAATGCGTTCCTACACTCTCTTATGGCTGATTACGTCTGGTAACACTTACACTACAGCATAATTTGCCATAATATAACAGATAGCATCTAAAATACCAAGTATTTTTGAAGGAGTTTTAAGAGTCTAGGCTTGATTTTTGTGGCTTTATGCATGTGAATGTTACAACCTCTCCCTTTCCTTCCTGCCTTACAAATATCCCCATTAGGAGGGGCTCTGTTTCCTACTTAATTCCAAAGTCCCCTTTGCAGTTAGCCAAACTGATTATCCATTGGAGTGGTCAGATATTTAGAACATAGCTTTAAAAAAAAATAGCCACAGGTATCTAGTAGCCATTGTCTGATGTTGCGTCCAGGGGACTATTTCCAAGCCACTTTTCCCAAAGAATGCTCCTTAAAGAGGAAAAAAAAGCCACTAATTTCTTCAGCTTAAAATGAAGTTTGAGTGTTTAGAGCCTGTACCCACAATAACTCTCTGCAGCTTTCCTCCTACAAGGAGAGCCTATATTTGCTGGCCAGGTCATCCAGTGTTTACAGAGCTCAGTACTTAAGACACCCTGTTCAAGAGGAAGTTTACATGCAACAATTATTACGTGCCATTCAGTAGTGACATTTGACATGTTCTTCCCAATACAAGGTGGTTTATTTTAGGGCTATCAAGCAATTAAAAAAATTAATCACATTTAATTGCACAATTGATTGCGTGTGCTGCCCCTTTGAAATACTGTGGCGGCATTTCAAAGGGGCAGCACCGCAGGAGCCTGGGATCAGCTGGAGTCCTCAGCTGACCCCGAGCTCCGTGCAGTGCTGCCCCTTTAAGGCACTGGCGTGGCACTTCAAAGGGACAGCACAATGTGGAGCCGGGGGAGGGAGGGAGGGGAGAAATCAGCTGGGCACTATAGAATAGCTGACTAACCACTAAGAATTTATACAGTTAGTTGACTATTCTATTACCAGCTATCTAACATCCCTATTGTGCACAACAGGATTTAAGAAAAACCCTTCAAATCAATGGGCAATATCAATATCTGTGCAGACACCATATGTGTTGGTCTATTGTTTTGAATGTCAGAACTGCAAAATGTTTTCAATGGCAAGTTGAAAAAAAAAAACAGCGACAAAAGATATTCCTGCAGCATCTGAATCAACACTTAGTGCATGCGGGAAAAAAAAGTCTCCCCCATAAGACAATTAACTCCAGTAGAGAGAAGCTTTGCCTAAATATGGATTTGGGAGTTAACTGCCAAGTAGACACAGATCTCACTGAAGTCAATAGGAGTTTCACATGCTCCACAATTTTGAAAATAATTTTTCAATGTAGTGCCAGAAAATGACTGAGCACTCTAATTTAAGTGCTCACATTCAAAATGTTTGGCTACAGCCCTTTATAATCTAGCTTTTTGTCATGACCCCATCCCGCTGAAGTAATTGTATTCAGCTCAGAGATTGGAGTACTGTATTAGTTATATATATATATAAAATTTGGAATCTGGGTAGCCCTGCAGTTGGAATGATCAATATACACGTTTGTTCTCCAATAATTAGCTCTTTCACACTCATAAGCACGAGCAAGTCAGTTCCCAAAATGTTACATTTGAGATAAAAGCTTTTGTTTCATTTCTCCCTATAGTACAGCCTTACCTTACAGAGATTTATAAACCAACATCAGTTGTTTCTGCATTGTACACACCTGCCTTTTAATAATGATACAAGTATGTCAGGTTCAGCAAGCCATCCTCAACATAACTCCAGCCAGGGCTGAAGACAGACATGCTGATGCCCTAAATTGTCAAGTTTAAGAGACCCTACTGCATTACCAAAAATGTATATTGTTCTAACTGACAGGACAATGAAAATAGAAATAATAGACGTTTTATATTTTCATATATACTGGTACATAGGCAAGGATGCAATTAGAACTAGTTGTTTTTGTTTTTTTTTAATTTAGAGGCTTCTCATAATCTGAGGCCCTATTGTGTAGCTTACTGAGCTTGTATATAAACCTGGCACTAGTTCCTGCTTCCACCCTATTACTTAACCTCTGAAATTTAAACTCAAAAGCTCACATATACAAGATATCAAGCTAGAGAAAGTTTACCACTTTGATCATCATATGATTGGATTTCAGGATAGCAATTGCACCAAACGCAGAGACGGAGATGATTACACCACCAACAATGGTGATAATCACAGGGACACCACTTGAGGCATCATTCACCACCATGAAAGTATCATGAAGTTTCGTCTGGGCAGAGACTCCTATGCACAGGAGGATAACTCCAGAAACCTGGAGCAGTGGGGGAAAAGGGGGAGAAGAGAGCAGAAAGCATTAGTCTCTCACATAGGAACAATTTGAGTTATCTAGCTTCCAACAGCCATCAGCCAACTGAAGAGACTATAAAATAAGAATCCTCTTTGAAGAAGTTGTGTTGGTATTTCATATTTAGAACAAATTACTGTGAGTATTGCCTTGCACAAGGAACATCATGTTGTTTCCAGCTCTGCATTGAGACCCATCTCCAAGCATACCACAATAAGAAGTTATGTCTGTTGTGGACATGGACGAGGAGGAGACTGAGAAAGGGCATCTAAGTCTACTTTGTGTTAGGTCTGTCTGCATCTTAAGTGTTAGTCAGCTCTTCTTGACTAGCCTCATTTGAGTGAGAGCAGCCAAACTGTGAAATACCATCTGAGCTGCATTCAGGTCTGCTGATTAGGGGGTGGGAGGAATGCCATTGGGTACTACAGCAGTGGCAATGGTCTGGGCCCTTTAGATCACTGCCAGAGTGTTATGTAGTCTCTATAGGTCTGATGGGTGGGGATGGGGGTGCACCACACTCCTGGTGGTGTTCAGGGGTGGTTGCTCCACCCCTTCTGCTGAAGGTCCCAACCCTTCCAAGGGCACAGAGCTTCCCCCTTCTGCCACACCCACTCCTTGCCTGGGGACCCATAGAAGCTCTCTGCCTTCCTAGTTCCATTGTGGTGGTTTTAGCAGCTGATGAGTCAAACTAACTCCAGATGTAGCCTGTACTGCTTCTAGGGGCAACCAATTCAATTCAACCCATCCCATCCTCACCAGCTTCAAGGTGAGGATTCTTGTGTGGGGATGGATGTTGCAGTAATGCAAGCCCAAGTGCAGTGAAGCCATTCCATTGCCACTCTTAAGGAGATGGGAATGGACAGAACAAGTCTTGAGAGACTCTTCTAAGCAAAATTGGAGTCAGCAGTAGTCATGCATGAACTAGAACAAGAAATGGAGTTTTGATACAAGTTCACTACTTCAGAACAACAACTCCCACCTTCCCCATTTTAGTTAAAGGTTGGAGGAAGTGTAGGCTAGGAAAGGGCTAGGACAATGTCTCCTGTTAGATAACAAGGATCCCTCCACCAAAGAAACAAGCACCTTTAAACTAGATCTGGGAGGGAATCCTTCACAGTCTAAGAGGGGAAAGAGAGAATAAGATTAATATCTATATTTGAGACAGACAGGATAGCTGATTAGGCTCTCCTTTTTCAGCATGAAATCAGACTTGTATCTAAAAGATTCCTATAAAAGTTAGATTTACAGGTAAAGATATGGTAACATGAGCTTTCTCTATATACTTTATGGAAAATCTCCTACAGAATGTTGCTGTTTAACATTTACATCTGATTAATTGCTTTCTCTGTACAGAGATTAGTTTTTCCACATTTGTTTTTATGATTATTTAGCTAAACTTGCAAATACTCTTTGCTAGTCAAACTCAACTCTTTGGAAATAAACAGGTCAAGCTTTGTACATAGCTTAAAATAAATCAGCTTAATTTTACACCATGCCCAGTAAAGGGATGGGGGAAAAGCACTTCCTCAGTAGTCTTGAATTCTCTTTAAAACAAGTTAAGGATTGATACAAATTTGCAGATGCCACTCATTTACCCATGAGCTATGAGAGAATACAAACTAGACAAGCAGTTAACTAAGCACTTAAAAAAAAAAAAAAAACACATAATCTCCAACATACCTTGCAACAGTCAGTAGTGTTTTTTTTTTTTTAAAAAAGCCTTGTTACATTAAATTACCCTTATCAGTATGCTAATATATACATATATAATATTAATGCTAGAGCATGAATATATTACACACACAAAGAGGAATTGAGACAATGCATACATCTACATGCCTGAGGTTACATAGCAGACATACCTTACCAATAACAATAAAAACAACAAAACAAATGAAAACCCCACAACAAATGACTACATAGGAATAGACAATATAGTTAGCATTACACACTTCAAAGTTCATCTCTAGTCATGAAAGATAGATTACCAAACTGAAAGCTATGTAAACAGTAACATTTTTCGTTACATTCATTAGTGATGGGGTTTTTAAATTAATTAAAATCTAAACAGAATTAAACAAAATATAGCAAAAATCTCACCCAATAAAACAAATCAATAAAATACAAGCAAACTTTAATGAATATTAGCTTTTTGCTAGAATCTATTTTCCTCATTTTGCTAACTAAGTACTCAACCATTCCTACTACAAATAGGACCAGCAACATAAATAATATTTTGATATAGGTTTATAATTACCACATTTGTCAACAATTTCAATCTAGTTCTGCTCTTATTGGCAAATTTCAATTGCCTTATAGACCCACAGGTGTATTTGATAAGGACCACATTCTGACATGCTTATTCACTTGATTAGTACCTTACTCCTTCTGTGCCCCTATTGATTCTTAGGAAAGACACCCCTAAAATACCTATTCCTCATTAGCTTAACTCCACTCCCATTGAAATCTATAGTAAAATTGTCCTCTATGTCATTAGGGGGCACAGTTAGGCCAATGTTAAGCACTTCTGAAAATTCCTCTTCCTTCTGCTGTCCCAGTGACTATTATTTAAGTGTGCAATAATACTTATTATTTATGGTTAGAATGTGCCATTAGTCATCATTTAGCAAAGCTATTGCACAAACAGGTCTTACTCTTTCCTTTCATGTCAGTTCTGCTATCCCTTTGAGCATTCTCTGATCTGCCTCCAAAATGTCAGTATCTTTGTGGTTAATGAGGTGCCTAGAACTGAACACAGTATTCCAGATGCAGCCACTCCACAGTCCCAGCAAGGACTACTGCTTCTCTATTCTGTGATGTTATGCTTCTATGTAAACAGCCCAAAAATTGAGCTAGTCTTTTTTTGCTATCATATCACATTGCATAGTCAGAATCCATTATGCAGTCCACTTCTACTGTTGGTCTGCTTTACCTTCATTACTTAAGATTCTTCCTACTGAATATTTATATTTCAAGTGATTTTACTTTTAATGTATTTATTAGGCTGTCTGGAGTGGCTCATGAACATAAGTGCCAACTTCAGGGCAGACTGTTACAAACCAGAGCACAAATCCCAACTTTGTTGTGAAATCTAAACAACACATCAACCAAGTATCAAGTGTGAAACACCTTATGCCTTTGGCATTCCAGTGTCTTGTCACCCAGGCAAGCTTGCCTTTGTGGCAGATGGTCCCTTACCTCAAAAATCACAATATTCAGGTTACTCCCAGTCCCCAAATAACAGCCACTTATACCAAACCAATTGTACCTTAGATCTCTTACCAAAGACAATGCTTCTAGCCAATCCTGAAAAAAACCCTAAGTAAAGATGCATTAATTAGAAGTAGGTTATTTACAAGTTAAATCAGGTGTTTTCAGACATACAAATGAACTACAGTCTTAGGTTTCAAAAGGTAATAGACACTGCTGTAACAGGCAAGCTCTATATGCCCTTTCGGGCTAACCCAAGGTAAACAGCTTGGGGATTCCTTCTTAGAAATATTGCCTTCTCCAAATTCCAAGCAGCATAGTGATACAGTTCCTTCTAGTCAGGGATTTTTACTTCCTTCATCCAGAGTTCAAACTGTGACAGGACAAGGGGTTTTGCTCATTACCTCTTTGTGTGTGGGGGTTGGGGAGTAATCGACAACGTTTTTTTTATCCAGTGATGTTCCACAATGGCCTATCTGGTGGTACCTCTGGGTTTTCTTTTGGCAGGGCAGGAGATGACCTGTGTTGTGGTAAACTAGTATTTCACACTTAATAATGTTTTTCTCCTGACTAAGGGAACTTTCCCATTTCATAGCAAATACATTTATAGTTTCAAAGCAAACACTTAAATATTACCTTTATAACATGGAATACAGATGTGAGATTGATGTATGCAGCAACTCATGAGCATTTCATGAAATCCAAACACTAAACACATTCTTATAAACGTAATAGCTATTTTAACAATGGTAACAAACAGGTGAGCCTGACTGGTTTCCAGCAATGTGTTTGTCAGCATTTAGTGAGACATCAAAGCTTTGGCAAGCTTGCATTTAGTTTGCATTTTTCTAGCTGAATCTTGTTTTGTTGCTTTTTACCCATCACTTTGCATCACACCTTAGCTGATACTCAATTTGAAGGAGTTGCAAAAATAGAGATGATCTTAAAATTGAACTACTTATTTACTTCCTTTACAGATCATAAATGGAAATATTAAGTAACACTGGATTGAATTATGAATTCTGCTGCACTCCACTTATTTCAATCTTCTTATTTTGTTGCCCATTAGCTAGTTTTCAGTCCTTTTCACAATGTTCCTAGCCAGTCAGGGGCTGGTCCTATATAATGAAAGTCTATTTCTTCTATACATTTTTATACTATCTATTAAGGATGTTCTTATTAGCCATATAAATGGTTAATCCTTATTTGAATTCCACTAAGGTTTTGACCTTCATAATATATTGTGGCAGAGAGTTCCACAGGTTAATTATGTGTGGTGTATCTCCTTACTTCTATTCTAAATATGTTACCTTGCAATTTCCCTGTTTCATCTGAAGCCCCCTTATTCCTACATTAGGTGACAGGATAAATAAAACAGCATGATTTGCCATTTCTATACCATTCATCTGTTTAACATGTCCCACTTTAGAGAAGAGACAAAGACTCACATGCTAATATTAAAAGCAAGACATGTTAACTGCATGGATATTTTTATTTTATTTTATTTTATTTTATCATTCAGCCAAATGAGCTGCTAGACAAAGCTTGTTCCTGGAATGTTTTGAGGAGAAGGACGTTGCAAGAGCTGTGGAAAAGCTTAAAGCCTCAAGGTATGTTAATAACTGTAAAATCATTAATATTTCAGCAGTTTTCAAAATCTAATGAGAATAGGCAAACTTTGTCTAGTGTGTTTTTAAACTTCAATGATTAATCACTGTTTTCACCCACTGTTAAATTTGCCTTGGAAAATTAATTTATTAAACATCATAACTGCATGAATGAAATAACTCATTTGGTATTTTCTAGCCATTGGGCAACATGCATTGAAATGTTTTCAGCAGAAAGCTTAGAACAATGTTTAGGGAGTTGGTTTCAGAAGTTGGTTGCACTGTATTCAGGGACTTGAACTGATTCCCATTTACTTAGATTAGGATCTTTGTTGGTGAATCATTTTATTCTAGTAATTGATTACTTCATAAAAATCTTTGATTATAAGTACTCAGATTGCTGTAATGCCCTTAACTCCCGTCTAAGACCAGGGATCCACTGTATTAGATGCTGAACAGAGAGAAAGACAGTCCCTACCTGGAAAAACTTCTTATCTAAATAAACAAGACAAAAAGTATATGTAAGGAAGTATTATTATCATCCTTATTTTACAGACAGGGAAATGAAGCACAGAGAGTTTAAGTGATGTGCCCAAAGTCACATGTGTAGTCTATGCAAGAGCTGACACTTAAATCTGTATTTCCTGAGAGTCAGTCTGGTGCTGTAACCACAGGGCCATCCTTACTTTTTGGTTTCAAGCATGCTGATTTGACTAGGCTACTTCCAATGTCCACATCTCCACAATGGCCCTGTTTTTCACTTTTAAGTCATCATATATGGTATAAACAGTATTTCCAACCAATAAAGATGTTAAACAGCTCCAATTTGAATGAAACTAGCAGCAAAATGTATAACTAATTTTCGGGGCAATACTAGTCTTTCAGAAGTTTCTGGGACATCATGGCAGCAATATTTAAATTGAGATATGAATACAAAGGCAAGCAGCTGATGCAAGGAATATGATGTTTAAAGAAGAAAATTAGAATAGACCTTTAGTGCTAATGAAAAGTTTGGATTTGACATGCCTGGAGCCTCCTGTTTTAAATTCCTCCACAGAAGAGATGGAGCATGGGTAGTTGGAGCTGAGTTTCTCCACACAACCTCTCTTGTTTGCTGGTCAACCCTGACCTATGTGGTCCACATTTAATGAAGAGATGAGATGGCATTTACTTTGCCTTTCTGATGAGGCTGCCAACTGGGCTGCTAAATTGACAACGTTAGGGAAGGTCAAATTATAACATTTGATTTTAAAGCCATTAAGAAACACCAGCAATACCTCCAAATCTAAAGGAAAAATCACATAAAAATACCAATCTCGCTTCCAAGAACCAAAAAAAGGGACCCAGGTCTTACTGAGCAAAAGTGGATATCTGTGTTTGGTAAGGCTGAGAGATCTCATTGGTTCTTCCATAAATTGAGATAAACAATCACATAGTGGAATGTTTTATCTGGATTCTAAACCTTTGGATGTCTTCTGGCCTAGGTCCTATATGTATTTTTGCTATCTTGGCAGAGTGTTTTGCAACATTTTAATGAAACATCCTATGCCATCACACCATCTGTGGAACAGAGAAGGTAATATTTAGTACCTATTTTCCTCTCTCTTAGCTTAAATATTGTATGTATTTTCTGCCACCTGTTAATAAAATATTCATATTTAGCTCTCTTACTCCTGAATGTGGATGCAACCATGTTAGAGTTGGTGACCATGATACCATATATGGTCCAAACTTATTTAAAAAATTAGCCTTGATAACAGTTTCCAGATCTTGACAGCTGGGTTGCTATGGCACATCATTCCCTTTTGGTGGAAAGAGAATCAATCTGAATGCTGTTGCCGTATTAAAAGAGAGAGCTCTAGCTATTTGCTTGGTGGGCACAGATACCTAACTTGTGTTAATGTTAATTGTAAATCAAAAGGCTAATAAACCCCAGAGCCTCACTCTTCTTCTTAAGACATTTTTGCAGTATTTCTTACTTAATCATTCACCATGAAGATTAATATTAGCAGCAGTTTTCACTATCAGGAGCAAATTTGTTCCCAGGGAACAAATTTAATAAGTGAATATTTTTACTAGAGTCAAATTCCAGCTTTTCTAAAGAGGACCTATACCAAACATCCTGATGAATGTCAGGTCCAAAATATCTACCCATTGCTGCCTTCCTTCCTCTGCTGATAGCTTGTGTTGGAGCTGCATCAAAGCTGACTGAAAGCATAGCAATATATGCACCTGAACAGAATAATTTCTGTGGCTAATGCCAGCGGCTGTGTCTATACTGGGCCACTTATTCCGGAAAATCAGCCGCTTTTCCGGAATAAGCTGCGAGCTGTCTACACTGGCCCTTGAATTTCCGGA